TCTGATGAAATATGACAAATTCTGTGCATCAGCAGTCTACAACCGAATTTCTGATTCAGGAATGGAGTCAAGCCAAAGCATCTTAATGTGCAAAATAGTTTTCCCTCTCTCTTTTTCTTCCATTAGTATGGCAGTCGGTTGGTCCTTGGGCTACATATGAATGCTACCACGTTTTAACTACTAAATATAAAAATGATTTATGGGCATTTAAAATACTAGTATAAGGATTATTTACACTTATTATTTTATTTTTGCCACTAAGCTGCTTCTGCTGTGTGAAAAAGAGTCCACTGACAATGAAAAGGAATATGGAAAGGGAGCAAAGGACTCTTCTTAAACAATTTAGTAAATTAAATGGGAATTCATAGATGGGAGAACAGCCAATATTTTAAGGCCGACATCACTATTTCTCTGACATGATGAATTTCCCATCCTACCTTATCTTTCTTTTATTGTTTAGTGAACTTTACCCACTTTTTCTGTGCGTTTTTCCCAACCACTCCCGTGTTCAAACTTGGCCATTAGATAACTGCTGTCATACTAAACATGAGTGGTTTGGTCCTAGACTTTGCAAGAGGGTATTTAAGCTTAGGCGGCAAAAATGAAGAGAGGAAAGAAGGAAGGGAGGAGGGAGGAAAGGAAGAAAGGAGAGAAGGGAAGAAGGGAAGGAGAGAGAAAGGGAGGGAGGAGAGGATGGAGAGAAAGAAGAAAACGGGAAAAGGGAAGGGAAGAGTGAGGAAGGGAAAGGAAAGAAGAATGAAAAAGAGGGGAAAAAAGAAGAAAGGAGCGAGTGAAGAAAGAATAAGGAAGCATCTTTACATTTATTTTTTTGCTTGAACACACTGGACTTGGCCAGCTAACTTTGAGCTTCCACAAGGCTATGATGGAAGATAAATTCTACTAAAGACTTCTAATGAGGAGGCTAAATATTTTAAATAAAGCACAACACAAGTTCATCTGGCAATGGAATGTCCGAAAAGGGAATATTTGGGAAGCGGTGGGAAGAAGAAGTGTATGCCTGTGTGTGTGTGTATGTGTGTGTGTGTGTGTGTGTGTGTGTGTGTGTTAGCTTGCTAAAAGTTACTTTCTTGCTGAACTCTTCAAATATTGAAAGCAACAATTTCTAAGAAGTGTAAAACTTGAGTTTGGCACAGAAATCTCAATTCTACAACTTAATAGAGTCTTCGGCTCTGTTTTCTCAAATATCCTAAGCACATTATCAGATTAGGTTCTCAAGCATTCAAATATAGTATTTTTTTAGTTCTTTATTGTCTTCTCATGTTTCCTTAATTCCAATTAATTAGTCGTGATTATCGCTTAGTATTAATGAAGTATCTTAAATTTATCTGCAGAAAAAATATTTCTAAAGTAGTCTATATATGCAAATTTCCTCAATGAGTCACTTGCAAGCCAATATTTGTCAAATGAAGGTTATTTTGTTATAATCTATTTCATGGCCTGAATTATATGGATACTCATGAATACAGGCAATTTATGAGAAAGCAAAGGAAATAAATATATCAAGTCACATCTTCAAATGTTTTTACCAGTAGGAATGGAGAGTAAGTTACCATTCACATTTTAAAAAAATCTATTTGTCTTGAAATGCCCAAAGCCACTGATGTGTTTGGATTTCAATATCAGACTATTTTGGGTTTTTGGAAAGTGTGTTATCAAGTCAATATTATTCTAAAATAAATCTGAGATTTGTCAACTCTAGAGTGTGATAGCATTCCTTAGAAAACTGAGATAAAGAAAGCTTGGAAAAAGGGCTGTATTTATAAAAATTCTGCATTGCACTGACACCTCAAACTTCTGAAGATTACTGAAAATGACTAAAAACAGAGTGCATTTAACACAGCCTGTAACAGCATAGCTGAAAGTTTCCTGAGGTGTTAAGAAAAGGTTGGCTAAATCTGACTCCATGATGGCTGAAGGCAGTGGCATCATGTCTGACACCTGACCCACATCTCTCACTTCATAAACTTAAAATAAATCAATGGACAACATAGTTTCTCTTTTTCTTAGTTACTTGGAGTACATATTGGATGAGTATTTCTCTTTTGTTGTCTGGCTTCACAAGACATATACTGCAACAGTGTTAGTATGCCTACTTCTATTGTAAATTTTACTGGGCCAGTTACTTTCCGAAAACCTTTACACTTCTTCCTCGGGGCATGTATCCATATGTGGCATTTCTGATTGCTCTATCATCTCCAAGATAATGGTTAGACAATGCATTTCATCTTTATTTCCCTTTCTGCTCTTGTGTATAAGCAGTGTTTTACAGGAGTTTCTGCCAGGTTTATTTACATTTTTCATTAGAGCAACATTTAATAAAGACGGAAACTTTATTACTTTAAAAGTTTACTCCTCTTGGAAAATAAATTTGTTTCTTAAATATCCCACAGTTTGTGCTACAGAAAAAAGTAACAGGTTAGACTTTAAACAATAATGCATTATCAATGAATTTCAGCCCAGAGAGAATTAGCCTTCTGGGTGCCAGCTTCTCTATCTTGGCTTCCAACCAGTGCTGATATTCAAGCTTGATTTTATAAGTTTCCCCAGCTGCTGTCAAAATCTGGGGAGGCAGCACCAGCTAGAACCTTCCAGCTTGCATGGCATGCTAAATGCTTCTCTGTTCCTCTCCCTGAGTAATTGGTACGATATGATGCACAGAAAGTTTGATCTTTGGGTTTTATTCCCAATGGCACGTTTCCCACTCAAACAGAACGTGGAAGGGGATCATATCAACATTACACCTTTTGGGGACAAATACTTTACTGGGTTAGAGACATTTATTTAGCACTTTTAAGAAGTAATGTTAGCGTTGAGATTGAATTAAGAAATGAAGTTTATTTGAAATCCAGTTACAAAATGATTTTTAGGGGAAGAAAGACTAAGTATAACATTTTAATACTCAAAGAAGATATAAAAGATTGTCCTTTTCTGAGGTGAACATATATATGAGCATATGTTTCTATTTTGGTTATCAACTATGGAAACTCCAAATTACAATTTTATATATTTATATAAAATAGTCTCCAATTACTTCCTTTTGATATTTAAGGAAAACCATTTAAATGGACACATTTCTTAGATAACTTCAGCTAGCAGAAAACAAAATGCATTTTATATCCATTTCCAAGTTTATTGAAAGGAAAATAAATATTGAAATCCTCATGAAGCTTTTACCTTTTTTATTTAGAACAGTGCCTGAGTGTCTAAATTGCACATATATTTCCCTCTATCGGTGATTTTCATGTTAATAAATCATACACATTATAATTTTTTCAAAGGATTTTCTAAGCATCAATCTTAGTGCTGACCAACTGTCATTAAGATACAGAGAAAAAAACAAAGACTATTTCTCATAGTGTTCAATTTCCAAAAATCTTCCCTTTTAGCTTATCATGAGACTTCTATCAATGTAAGTGCTGTGTGATATTGACCATCAAAGGTAAATATTCACAGGATTCCTTACTCTAAAAATGTCTACAATCGGAGCAGGTATTAAATTCCCATTCTTTGTCTTGAGATAAATGTAAATGGCAAATATATTTTGCTTACTAATCATTTACTTTTTTTCCTGAATTCCAGTTGAAGACAGACTGTTTAAATCAGTGGACTTTAGAGTCTACATACATTTGCTTCACAAAAAAACTGTAATCGACATAACACCTACCTGGCATCTGGACATAGCTAACCGGAATGTTTTTAATAGAAGAAATTAAACTTATTCTTTTGAGATGAAAAAAACACCTTTTTAAATCTTTGTGGGGAAAAATCACTGCCTCCTACTTTTGGGGAAATTCAACCAATTACAGTAACTTTAGTCTTCATCTATTTTCTCTTGTGGTAAGAAACTCACAGGATTTGAACCATGAAGTTGGTGAGAGAATGAATAACTAAAATCATTAAGAAAACTCATCAGTATCTTTGTATGTAAATTACTTTAAAACATTTATGATCTAGAGTTGATGAAAAATATCCTGATAGAAGACACCATGGAGGCAAGAAAAGGTGAATTTGAAAAAGACATGATAAAGTATAAACTACTGAAACTTTTTCAGAGCTATATTATGACTCACATTATAACCTATCGTAATAAACCAAATATATTATCACTTGAAAATACTATGATAGTAACTGTGAAAAATACAGTATTTTTTTAATTAGGACAAATTACAAGGAATATACAGGTTTAAGGTTTCCTTTTTATTTAGTTTTCTCCAACAGAGATATTAGAAGGGATGAGTAAAATCATATTTAAATAACCTTTTTTATTTTCCAACTTATTCTGTGCATGAGGAATTTGGAGGTATTTACAGGTACAGAATAAAGCTGAATTTGTTCTCCTGGGAAACTATGCTTATGGCATATGATATATATTGCTCCAAGAATTTATTTTTCTTTCCTAACAGGAGCTGGTAGGAAAGCATCTACTTCTTTAAAAGCAATTTGTGACTATTATACAATTTCCAATGTCTGTGACAGCTGTTTCTCTAAAGCAGACCGTCAGAATAGAGCATGCCTGTAAATCTCAGGTCCCAAAGAGAGGAGTTCCAATCTTGAGTAATTTGAATGCCATGTTATCAGTAACACTTCTCAGGGAAACATTTATAACCCCACAGTTTAGATGCTGAATTTGTAATAACGACATTTTCAATATGAAAAGGCTAAAATTGTTATCAAGTGAGGGGTTTATTATGTACATGTTCTGATAACAGTTTAAAATACTTCAAGTGCATCTCTTTTTTCAGGCAGGACTGTATTTTCCATTTATAGTGCAAATATAACTTCTATAAAGCACAATGTCAGGTAAGCACACATGCTGAAAAGGGAGATTGAATTTGGCTTAAAACTACTACCTGCTTCTACATAAGTCTTTCACAAATAAAACTTTATTGTGTTCAACTTGTTTACATAGCTAAGCAACTAAGCAACATATATTCATTTATGGTACACGCCTCGGTTTCAGCAAATTAGCAATAACTTACCTAGAGAAGCATTTCAATTTTTTTCCCTTTTCCTAACTTGAATTTGTCCGGAGTTAGAAAATGAGATATCCAGTATTCAGATTTACTTGGCTCCAGGTTAATTAGAAGGAGCTTTCAGTTCATACAGTGTGCCTCAACAATCTTCCGAGAGCACTCTTTAGCTCCAGTCCTAGCATCTGAACTCTTCCAGCAGAGTCTCTTTTTATTTACACACACATTGTCCTTTTCAAAACAAGCAGCCAGCTGGAATGATTCAAACCTCTGTTCAGCACACCGTTAAAATGCAGCTTCCTTCTTGGACACGAGCGTTACTCCAGGGAGCGGACCGAGGACAGCAAAAAGGCTATGAGGTATGAGAACTATGTAATCACCGGAATACCAGCTGCTCCTGCTCGGCTGCTGCTCCTGCGGCTGTGCTTGTTGGTTAGCTGTAGTCGGTCTTTCCCTCCCTCTCTTTCTCTCACATCTCCAGAACTATAAAGGCAGTTCTGCCGGATTATGATTGGCAGAAACAGCCAATTCCTTCAGCTAATCATCCTCAAGACTTTCAAGGACCTAGAGCTGTTGTGATGTCATCCACTCAGTGGGATGTTACACATGAATACATTCCAATAGAAGCTAATTCAGCGATCAGCTGCATTCCTCTCACACCACGGGGATTGATTAGATGCTCCTTGAGGATTTGCATAATCTTTCATTGTACAGTTGGACTATTTCCTATGAAATTCGAGAGTAAAATTCCACTTTGCAGCTATGACACTGTACCAAAAGATTCTTCTGGGTTAAAAAAGAAAAGTTCAAGACAGGGTTTTCTGAAGTAAATGCATGCCAAACATGTGAATTATGAATTTATGAAAAGCCAACAATGAGCAGTAAGAAACTTGGAGAAATATTGGTGACCTACATAGTCCTGAAATTAATAACAATATTCTGGACCATAATAGATGCTGAAAGAAAAGAAAGAGTAGCCATGTGTGTGTGTGTATGTGTGTGTGTGTGTGTAGTATGAATTGTTTTATTAACTGAGGTAAATTACTGGATTATTATGGAAAAAAGTTCTCTCCTCTCCTGAGCATGGACAAAAATTGCCTCCGTGTCTCACTTTTCTCTTGGCAATATAAGATGAAGATGATTTGCTCTTCGCTCTCTACTAACTCATAAAGATATTACAAATTACATTTATACACTTTATGTAAAATTCCTTACACTTTTCCTTCAAATAGCAGGTAAAAGTAAAGTGCTTTCAAGTGTATTTCTTCATTCCAGGCTATATAATTCCCTAGGCTCTTCTTGCTTCAGTACCTTCTTTAGTCTCCATCACTTAATTTAGTGAAATAAGATGACCTAATGACAGTTTAATCCAAGATCCCTTATAGGCTGGAGAACAGAGCTGCTAACTTCTCTCAGACCCAAAGTACCCTTTTAGTGTGCCCTTTTAGTGTGTGCGTGTCTTTGGTTATAAAGAATTCTGCTTGAATTTCTGGGGCGGCATCAGTGACCCTTTCGGTATGCTGCGGGGGAAGGGTTGTCCCTCAAAACACAGCATCTATTGATGATGACATGTACTTTTGGATGAATAATTTTAATGCACCCAGTGTTACTAGAGTTATTATACTGCATAAGGTTTTGAGGGTCAGCAAGCTGTAGATATATGCTAGAGAGGATAGAAAGAAATCCAGTAAATTAAAAAGAACATCTACCAGTTATTTCAAAACTTATGAACACTATCACTAATAGATCATATATCATGTGTCAGTTATTTTTTCAGGGGTGCAGGCTAAAAATGTACTCAAGCAGAAATTTGTATTTTAAAAGTGCTCAAAGAAGAGTTCAAGAACTACGTACTACCTTTAAGAAGCTTTGGAATATAAAGATGCATTTCAAAATCAAATGAGAATTTCCATTGTGATATACATTAAATTTAAAAATGGATAAATTACAATCAAATATTTTAATGATGTCTCAATAAAATAATTATTATTAAACAACATCATGCCAAACATCAACTACTGAGAAAGAAAATAAAATACATAAAAAAGCTGATTGAAGGTTTTATGTAGTTTTTCATACTAATATTGCCTTTTTATTTATTTATTTAGGTTTAGTCATCATTCTTCTCTTACTTACACAAAAATGGAAAGAAATATTATTTTAAAATACTCAGTTCTTTATTTTATTGACATATTTCTACTTCATAAGTCAATAAAAAATGCCACTTTATCAGAGTAATTTCAGTTATTGGAACCAAATGACAACACAGTGATTTTGATCGCAAAACATGGCATTAACACGTGGACCAGGATTTACATCCTCAGCACCGGTGATAACTATAGTTGGTGTTAACTGATTACAAGTGAAAGTTTTCATCAGTTTTTTCTCCAGGATTAGTCCAAAGCAATGCTTGTAGCTGAAGAAACATCATATCATTTGGAGTGAAATGAATAATAAAGTGAAAGCACTGTGAATATAAACGTGTTATATATCGTATTGATGGAAGATGCTCTGAACACAAAATTCTCACATAAACTGCTTTTAAACATCTGTTGAACACTAACTTCAAAAACAAGAAATCCCAAAATTCTGGGTTCAAATTCATAGTAGGAAGAGGGAAAAAAAGAGTTTACTTTTCTTTTCTTATTGTTTACTCAGAAATAAACTAAAATTTGGGGACAGAGGGTCTCATCAGGTGTACACATGTATAAATGATGGAAACCAACCAAAAAGTGCTTTCTGTCAAACTCCTGGGGAGAGTTTGAGAAATTCAGTGTTCATACTAAACAATAAAAATAAAATAATCCCAAAAGTACCTTGAATAATTTTCTTATAATTTCCTTTGTATTTTGTATTTTCCTATGATTTAAAAAAACTTACTTGTGAAATTATTGTTTCATCATTTTCTAATCTTTTGTGTGAGGGAAGTGATCCTGAGTGTTGTGAGCAGGGAATGTGATATGCAAGACAAGATAGGGAAGAATTATTTTCTCAAAGTGTTATTTAATCGCTTAACTTGTATTCCACAAATGAGAAGGCCGCGCATTGTCAGATATGGCATCTATCTGGTTAGCTTATAATAACACACATCATGCAAAGCATTTGTCCAACTGCTCATAGTTGAATTCTATTTTTTTTTGACACTCCATGAAGTGTGACATAATTTTTCCTTTATCTATTAAGACGTAGGTCCAGACATATACTAAGTCCTAAATGGATCTTTATTAAATTGAATTAAATTTGTTGAACTAATACATTTTTGGATCTCCACATATTTTTATTCAATTGGTATCAAACCTCTTTTTTCAAGTGAGTTGCTTTAAAAGTTCAAAAACTGCGTCATATGCATGGTTTTGAAATTGTAAAAATAAAAAACTTTAAAAATATTCTGTAATACTCACGTAAAATGTATATAAAGCATATAAGGTATAAATCAATGCCTATTTATTCAATAGAAGAAACAGAAAACAAAACCAAACACATTTATTAAAAAAGATAACTCGCTTTTTTGTTTATATGTCAACTCATTTTTTACAGTGAAGCTCAGTGTAATTATATCTACTAATAGAAACATTAGATTTCAGAAAAATTTAGTAAGTTTAACAATTTCTAAAATTTCTATGCATTATTTTCTCATTATTTTCCTTTTTGTTGATTGTTGCTAGGGGCAAGTTTTAAATCCATGCATCTAAAATAAACAGAAATTTGCAAAGAAAATGCCAAAGAAATCTTTCCGAGTACTTTGTAATTTCTATCTTTTAAAAACTTCACATCCATGTACAGATAAGTAGAAGATATTATAGCTTTAAATATACATTTTTATTTTTCTAAGTTTCATTTCTCTTCCTAATTCTTACTGCAAAAATGACAACTTTGAATGAAGACAACTAATTTAATTTACAATTTAAACTATTAAAGCTTATGCATACAGGATTCTATGACCATGATACAACTTTCTGTCCCCTTTCTTTGCAATTACTACTAACTTTTTTATCGTGAGCAACTTTCCAGTTGTCCCAACTAACATGAAAGGCTCTGACTAACTCTTTTTTAAAGAAAAAAGCCTGAATAGAAGAAACTGCTATGTCAAAGTCTATGCCTTAGGGGGACGGGGGAGGGAGTGGGGGGAGGAGGGAAGTCTCTAATTGGGCTGAGTGACAAATACAAAACCCTTTTTTTAGGAGAAAAAAATAAACCCTTCTGCTAGTCAGATAAGAACTCCTAAGAGAAAAAAAGAGTATCAAGGGGCATAAAGTCAGTTTTACTCCATTAGAATCATACACATGATGAGAAAAATTAGTGCCATAGAGCATCATTTCTATAATAAGGACTCCAGTCACCGACTTAAATGTTATCGTATCACACATCTGGATCTCTTGTTAGCAAGCTATGGAGAGAGGGCAAAAAATGGGATCCTCAGGTTGGAAGAAAGAACCTTCTTGCCAGTATCACTATAGTGCATTGTTTTAGCAAGAGAAAAATTGGCATGTTACTGATTCAAATAAGTCCTTTGAAGATGCAAAGCTTGAAAGGTCAAGTAAGGGAACAAACAGACTAAACAGTCCAAGTCCAGTTTGGCTGACAACTGCCTAAAGGAACGCGATTTTTAATAAGTAGCAGATGTTGGCCAAAGCATCTCTGAATCACAAAAATCTTTGTTGTGCAGTGAAAGGGTCGCCCACAAGGGAGACCCTTGCTGACGGGAGGGAGGACAGCAGAAATTAAATTTACCATTGTTCCATTTCTGATCCTTGCTATGAGAATTGTCAGTGAATTTCCCTTTTTAAGGCTTCACAAAGGTGGATAGTGTTCATAAAGTACATTAATCAGGCCACAACTCCAGTGGGCATCTCTTATCAGAGGAGAATCTTTAAATACTGCAGTGTGTCAGTACGGATGGGGTGTCTACAATCTGGAGTTTTACTTTGTTTCTTCATTTCTCTTTCTATGTGCTTTGTAATGTGTTGGCCAAAATTTCGTTATAGTTTAACGGCAACTTCCTTTTGAGTTAGGACTTTTAAGGTCTTATATGTCAGGTGATTTTATATCCTCTGATTTAAAGTCCCAAATGTTCAAAATAAGAAACCTACTTGGAGACCAGAATCCTGGCATCATGGTGATAAATCGGTAAAAACTCTTCCTGTCCTATAGGGTATTGTGTTTCATCTGTTAGCAAATTTCTTTTATCTTAGGTATCCTGATATCATTTGTTTTCTGTCTGTTCCAGTCCTTCAGGGACAGGCATCTCATTTACGAGCTACTCCTGCTAATGCTCTGAGCAACATGGGAAATCTTAATGTTTCACCAAGCCTTCATAAATCAGCTCCAGTGCCTCACTCTAAATTACCATCACTCTGGGATATTTCACTGGATGCTCCCATTCTTTCTCCTATTTGGCTTAGTATAGAGGTGTGTGTGTTGGGGCTGGGAGTTAAGAGGATGAGTTGTGAGCAATGGTATAACAACATGATGTTTGAAAGCTAGCCAGCAATGGTTGAAAGCCTCCTTTATTCTTGAAAGGTGATATGAGTAAACATATTAGATATAATGACTGGGGCCAGGCTGAACTCCATGACCTGTAAGTCCACTGGTACCTTCTGTAACCAGTTAGCAGTAAGGTATACAGCACTACATTGCTAC